CCCGGGGCCCGCGGAGGGGCGGGGACCGCGGGCGCGCGACTGTTCTCGCCGGCCCCCACCTGGGTGCACCTGGCGCGTCGTAAAGTGATTTACGAAGTGAAAGTGTTAACCAGGCCACCAGCTGGAGGCCCGAGCCGGCCGCAGGAGTTTTATTGGGTGCCTATCATGGAAAATAAACTTTAATCCCACCATAAAAACCAAATCTGAAAACCGTATTTGCCCCGTGCTGTGCGCAGCATTCCCGGGCGGGTCGCGCCTCCCAAGGGCTGGTTTTATTGAGGGAGAAGCAGTGCGCCCGGACTTTGATACCAGGTGGGGGGGCTTCCCCGGCCGCGCCCCCCCTCCCGCCACCCACCCGGGAAGCTGGGAGGCTGCAGCGGGTGACCTGCTGGGGGCAGGGCTCCCATTCCCTGCACCTGCCCTTTCCTCGGGAGGGAGGGACGAAGGAGGGGGGGGAAAGGGGGAGCAGGGAGAGGACCAGAGAGACCAGGGGGAGGAGGGAGAGGGGGCAGGAGGGTGGGGAGGGAGGAGGGCGCAAAGGGGAGAGAGGAAAAGGGAGGGGAGGGTGGGGGAGGGGAAGGGGCCAGGGAAGGGAGGGGGAGGAATAAGAAAGGGCCCGGGAGGGAGTTCTGGCTTCTTGGCCAACGGTTACCTGACAGGTCCAGGAATTTTCACCCTGGGACGCACCGAGCCAGGGGCCCTCGCCGGCCTCCCGCTCCAGCGCGCCAGGCCCGCCCCACCCGCCCGGCAGGCCCAGCTGCCATCCCTCGTCCCTGCCGGGCAGCAGGAGTCTCCTCCAGAGCGGGAGATGCCGAGCGGCCAGGCGCCGAGACCCCAGGTGCTGCTGGCCTTGGGCGCACGGGGCGGCCGCGGGGCCCAGTCACCGTCCATCCGGCCCAGTCACCGTCCATCCGCCCACGGCGGCCCTGCGTCCGCACCCACACCCGCAAGTCCTGTTGCTGCTCTGGCTTCCAGCAGCTTCCCCACGTCCACGGTGCGCCTGCGGGGCCGGGAGGGGTCCCCAGGCCGTGGGCCTGCGGGTCCCGTGGGGCCTCCTGGCCTCTGCCGCTCGCTCTTCTTCGGGGAATGTCTGCTCCAGCCTCTCGCTGTCTTCCACTGAGTGGCGATGGGCCCCCCTACCTGCTGTGAGTGGGCGCCCGCAAGCCCAGGCCGGGCTGTCTCCGTGGCCTTGGGTGTCAGTCCCGCGTGCCGGCTCTCAGGTGACCCCTCCTGGGGCAGGTCAGGGTGGGTCACCTGCTTGGACTTCTCAGCTGGGGGTTCCCACGCCAGAGCTGGGCAGGAGACCTTGGCTTTTGACTCCAGGCCTGTGAAGCACCCCAAACACTGGCACGCAGAGGGGGAGGAATGAGGAGCTGTGGGCGCTGGCCAGGGCAGAGCAGGACCAGGCTCCCCAGGTAGCTCCACTTTGTGGGGAGCCCTCTGCCGCGCCTGCAAGCAGCTGGGAGACCCGGCCCGGCCCTCTGGGCTCCCGTGGCAACTGCGTAGACCTGCTGCCAACCCTGGGACTCGGGTCTTGGGGTTCGGAAGGGGACGCCGGGCCCACGGCGGCGGAGCGCGGAGCGTCGCGGGGAGGGGGGAGGGCGCGCCCCGAGGGCGGAGCCGCGGGCCGTTCTTAGGGAACGGAGGGCCGCGCCGGAGTGGGCGAGGATGAGCCAGTGATTATATTTAAATTTGCTATAATTGATTTGGGGAAGAGCTGCTGTGACAAGAACGAATTGATCATTAAATTTATTAGCGAGATAAATTCCGCCGCGATTAAGCAGCCGGCTGGCAACACGCTGGCGGCCCCGCGCCAGCCCGCCGGGCG